CATCCCTGGGAATGAGAATTCTCTAACTGGCTTTAAAACCCAAAGATTTTGGGAAATGCTCATCCCTGGGAATGGGAATTCTCTAACTGGCTTTAAAAGCCTCGGTGAAAACCCTTCATTTATGGATTATTTTGGGGTTTATGCTGATTTTTAAAATCCCCGCTCTTTTGTTATTTATTCCCTTCCTCTGAGTACTAAATTGGCAAGAGAAGAGTCAAATCCTCCTCAGACTTTTATTCCCTGTTTTTCTGTGGCAGAGGTGACACCCAACAGCATGGAGGGATCAGGATCAGGATCGGGATCGGAGCACCCGGAGGGTGAGCACACCATGGCTGAGGGATTTCCTCACTCCTGGCACGCTGTGACTGCTCCTGCATCCCAAATTCCTCCCCCAGCCACATCCCAAAGCACATCCCTGCCTTCCCAGTGCTGGTTTCTCTTCGGGTGGTGTTTGTAAGGATAAGTGACTGAAGGCACATCCACACGAGTCACGTCTGGTGGGACACGCAGCTCCCACTGCCATGGGAAACCATCGTTTAACTGGCATGTGCCATGGGTGAAGCTCCAAAATGATCCCAGGCTCTATAAAACATGAGAATTGAATATTCTGAGCACCCTTCAGAAGGGCCTGGGTGACCCCAAAGTCTCCCCTGGTGCTGGGATTTGATGCTCTGATGTTTTTCTCCGATTTTTTTTTTTTTTTCCCTGTTCCATCATCTAATCTGCTGCCTGGCCTGATGGATCCAAACCTCTGGATGCATCCCTGGACTCACATTCCACCTGTGCTTATTTTTAAGGAGAAGCCAGTTCTGAAGGCAGCTCCAGCAGCAGCTCAGAAGAGGAGTCAGGTGAGCAGAGCACTGTGATTGATTTACCTGTAATCCCTTTTTTAAAACTGATGTTCAGTTTAAACCACCTGCAGCTCCTGGGTATAACCTCACAGTTATTAGGGAATGCTAACTCTGATTGCTGTCCCAATGAAATTTTTGGGAGCCAGTGATTTCCTGTCAGTGATGAAAGGGCAGCAGCTCAGAAGAGGAGTCAGGTGAGCAGAACATTGAGATTTATTTTTCTGTTTGCTTTTTAAAACTGTTGTTCAGTTTAAACCACCTGCAGCTCCTGGGTATAATCTCACAGTTATCAGGGAATGCTAACTCTGATCTCTTTCCCAATAAATTTTTTGGGAGGCAATGATTTCCTGTCGATGATCAAAGGGCAGCAGCTCGTGCTGCTTTCACCCTGGCAGACACAACACCTCACAATACCCGCGGGTATTTTTACACCCCAGCACTTTTCCAAACACCAAGAGGCCATAAATTTCCTCAAGAGTTGGCAACAGACCTGGCCAGACAGGCTGGACAGGAAAAGAATTAAAGGAAATGTTTGCTGTCGGTGGGTTTGTGCTTCCATGGGTTTTGCTGCCAGCAGTTCGTTCTGGCTTTGTGTGATAATGAAACAATTGCAAAGGTTTTTCTCTGCAGCTGCAGAGGAGTGGGCTGGAGGAAGGCTGGGTCAGTTTGGGTTTATTGTCCCTGTTATCCCTTACTCAGCAGGAGGAAGCCAGCTCGGATAAACAAAACCCAGCACTTTTTTTTTTTGGGAAAAGGAGCTGCTGGAGAGCATCCCTAGGAAATGAGGGGTGCAGGGAGTGTTCCTGGTGCTGCTCCAGCCCTGCTGCAGCTCAGGGGCTGGGCCTGGCTGCTGTTTGCAGCCAAACGTCCCCTGGCTGTGCTCCAGGATAGCTCTGGGACAGCCTCCAGGATCCAGGACAGCCTCCAGGATCCCTTTTTCCCGGGAGGGAGGTGGGATGGGAAGCAGCCCTGCCACTCCCCTGCTCCCAAATCCACCCCTCAGGACACAGCCCTTGGCCTGAAGTGTCAGCTCTGCTGGAATTGTGTCCTGATGGATTCAGCCAGGAGAATCCAGGCACTTCCAAAGGAGAATCCAGGCACTTTCCAGTCATTTAATTCTGTCCTGATGGATTCAGCCAGGAAGATCCAGGCACTTTCCAATTATTTAATTCTGTCCTGTTGGATTCAGCCAGGAGGATCCAGGCACTTTCCAATCATTTAATTCTGTCCTGATGGATTCAGCCAGGAGAATCCAGGCACTTTCCAATCATTTAATTCTGTCCTGATGGATTCAGCCAGGAGAATCCAGGCACTTTCCAATCATTTAATTCTGTCCTGATGGATCCAGCCCGGAGGATCCAGGCACTTCCAGATCATTTTAGGGACAAACACAGTGCACACAATGTGGTGGTTGCTCCTTGGGAAAGCTGTTCCCAAGTTTCCACGTTGAATTTTGTCCTTGGCACCACAAGGCTCATCCCAGGATCAATCTTTTTTTGACCCCCGTGAAAATTCCCAGGAGTTTGGGCAATTTGGGAGCTTTTGGCAAATTTGTATCCTGATGTTCAGCTTCACCCTCAGGCTGTGCAAGGATTCTCAGGAATGTTCTCCTTAGGATTTGATGAATTTAAGCAGATGAAATTGTGGATTTGTCCTGGGTGAATGTGGGAGCAGAAACCCTCTGGACATGGAGATATTTACTCCAAACTCCTTTTTCCTAGATGAAGAACAGGAGGAGAAGGAATCCCCACCTTACTGCAATGAGTCAGGTAGGAACAGATCTCCTGAGGGTTTTTTTTTTTTTAGTTATTCCTGCATGTTTAATTACTTGGCTTTTCATGAACTCTTCTTCCTCTTTTCCCACTAGGAGGGAACTACTTGCCACCCTGTGAGCACTGCAGGAATGAAAATGTAGGTTTGTGAGGAAAAAAACCCCACCCACTTATTTTGCATGAGATCACTTGCAAACTGTAATTCTGCTGTTTCCTCACCTTTTTAAAGATTTTTTTTTTTTTTTAAATCTATTTGCAGGACCAGAAGGAGCAAGTGACCCCCAGGAGACTTGCTGGAGGACAATTTATGTATGAATAATGGGTTTGAGTTTCCATTGTCCTCATTAAGGTGCTTCAGTCTTGGGTTGAAGTGAGCAAACAGCTCATTTGCTGCACAAATGCATTTGGATTTATACTGGAAGGTGCACCCAGATCCTTAAAAAAATCACAGTTCAGAGCCTGTGCTGCCTCCAGATCCGGGTCCAAGACAACTCCTGGGAGGGTTTTTCGGGATGTAATTTACAGCAGCCCCATTTTTATGTGCTTATTTCAGCCTGGATGCACATGAGGCATCCTGCCCTGCTTCCCCCTCCCCTTCAGCAGTGCATTTTTCCCTGTGTGTGCCTTGGAATGGTCCCTGTGGGATGTCCATGCTGGATATTGATATTACCCACGGGAAATATTGGCTGTGACAATTCCTGTGAGGGCAGCTCCTTCCACAGGGAGTTTTATGCAAAATGCTCATTTCCAGCTGTTTTGCATAGGCTGGGTGGGTCCTCACCAACTTTTAACAGCCCAGTGCCAGCTCCAAACCAGACTGGAGCCCTTTGTGGCTGCTGTGCTGTGGAGATAAAACCCGAGGGAATAATTTTCTTTACCCCTGGCAATTCCCACCATATTTTTTTTTTTTGGCTTTTTTCTTGCAGGGTGCAGCTGGATGCAGAGGGCACCTACCAGTGCAGCATCACAGGGTTGATTTTCGAGGTGACAGGAGCTGCCAGGATCACGTATTCCCTGTTATCCTGGAGCAAATATGCCCAGCTGGTGAAGAAACCCTGGATCGTGGGGGGACCCCTGTTCGACGTGCGCTGCTCAGTGCCCGCCGTGCTCGGCTCCCTGCAGTTCCCACACTGCCTCTGCCTGGGGGGTGAGTGGCCCTGGGGCCAGCGGGACACACCAAAAACATCAGGATTTTTTAGCTCTAGGCAGGGTTGTTGGAATTCAGTCGGGCAGATAGGTTTTGCTGGAGGAAATTGGGAGTTGGTTGAAAGGACCCCGATTGGAGGTGGCTGTCCCGGGTTTAAATTACTAATGGCTTGTCGTTTGGATGTTTGTTCGTCATGAGAAACTGATAAATAGGTCTAAAGGAGCACAGAGAATTGCGAATCTTTGACACGTAGGGACAAAACCCATTCCAGAGTCACCGAGAGATGAAATTGGAATTTTCCCAGAGCTCATTTGTGTTGTGTCTGTGGGAGGGGTGGAAAGTTCAGAATGAGGAAGACTCACTTTGTTTCCTCTTTTTACAACCCCTTCCCATAAAAAGGACCAGTGACCCAATTCAGGGAGCAAACTATGCATGGTTAACAGCCTTTCAGGCTGATGACCATGGCAGGGGGGAATAGGGGGTGTTGGTGTGATGAACTTGTAAAAATTTCAACTCTTTGTAAAGAAATGGACTCTGGAATTGCTTAGAACTTTGCAGTGGGTATTAGGGGGTTACCCCACGCTGAAATAAACATAAACTTTCTAACTTAAAATTGTTAGAGAGTTTTTTGAGAGAGGAGTTGAGTATTGGTATTAGGCCAATACTCGTATTTTGGTAAATCAGGGGGGTGCCAGGGACACTTGGGGACATCCTGAGCCCAGTTTGTCCCCCCAGATCAGGGTGTGTGAGTATCAGTATTAGTTCAATACTCATATGTGGGTAAATCAGGGGGGTTCCAGGGACACCTGGGGACATCCTGAGCCCTGGGTTGTCCCCACAGATCACGGCGTGTGAATATCAGTATTAGTTCAATAATTATTTTTTGGTAAAGCAAGGGGGTTCCAGGGACACAGGGGTGCCAGGGACACTTGGGGACGTTCTGAGCCCAGGATTGTCCCCACAGATCAAGGTGTGTGAGCATTGGTATTAGTTCAATAGTCATAATTTGGTAAATCAGGGAGGTGCCAGGGACACTTGGGGACGTTCTGAGCCCAGCTTGTCCCCACAGATCAGTGTGTGAATATCAGTATTAGTTCAGGACTCATATTTGGGTAAATCAGGGGGGCTCCAGGCACACCTGGGGCCGTTCTGAGCCCAGTTTGTCCCCCAGGTCACGGGGCTGGAGTGGCATTCAAGGTGCTGCACGTCAAAGGTGACGGCGCGACCATCGAGCCCTCGGCCGAGTTCTCGGCGTCCCACGTCAAGTGGGTGGTGAGCTCCCTGTCCCCCGTGGGCCCCCTGATCCAGAGCCAGCAGCCCCTGCAGTACCACGGGGCTGTCATCCTCTACAAAGCCATCGATGAGCACCCCTCCCTCTCCTTCTGGGTCTACCTGGCCACCAACAACGACTCCTTCATCAAGGTATGGCTGGGGAGGGCGGGCTGAGGAATCCTGGCGTGGTTTGGGTGGGATGGGAACTTCAATCCCATCTCATTTTCATGATCAACTGCTGGAATTGGCTGCCTGGGGTGGTGGTGGAGTCACCATTGCTGGGTGTGTTTAAAAATGGCCATGGTTTAGTTGAGGTGTTGGGGAATGGGTTGGACTTGGTGCTCTTGGAGGTCTCTCCCAAGCTGGTGATTCTGGGATTCTGGGATTTCACCTCCCACAGCTCCAAACCCCAATGTCCAGCCTGGCCTTGGGCACTGCCAGGGATCCAGGGGCAGCCACAGCTGCTCTGGGCACCCTGTGCCACCCTGCCCACCCTGCCAGGAAGGGATTTATCCCCAATATCTAATCCAGATCTTTATTTCTTTTTCTTCACTTTAAGGCTCCCCTTATCCTGTCACTTTCTGCCTGTGTAATTCCAATGGAATTGCTGCTGGAATCGCTCAGAATCTCTGAATCCCAGACTGGGTTGGGTTGGAAGGAGCTGAAATCCCATCCAGGGCCAGGGCAGGGACACCTCCCACTGTCCCAGGGTGATCCAAACTTCAGTGTCCAACCTTGGGCACTGCCAGGGCTCCAGGGGCAGCCACAGCTGTGCCAGCCCTGCCCACCCTGCCAGGGAACAATTCCATCCCAAAATCCCATCTAAACCTACAGTCTTGGAATTTTGAAGCCATTCCCTCTTTTTTCCTGTCGCTCCATCCCTTGTAAAGGGAGCTTTTCCATTTCCATTCTTTATCCCAGTCACTTCTACCAAGTTAGAAGAGGAAACAGCCTCAGGTTGTGCCAGAGGAGGTTTAGATTGGATGGAAGGGAAAACTCCTTCAGGAAAAGGGTGGTCAGGTTTGGAACAGGGCAGTGGTGGAGTCCCCAGTGAAAATTTGGGGATTTGGGAGAGCAGCTGACAATGAATTCATCCACACGGCACCAACGTTCCTGCTGCCAAGGGTCAGGTCAGAAATAATCCCTGAGGAGAGCAGAGCGTGTCTGCAGAGAGGAGAGAGGCCATGGAACTGACCCTGGAGAAAATGCCAGCTTTAGAAAATGCCCTGCTGTGCCCTGCAGTTTGTTATAGCGAGCAAATTGGGTTTGTGGGATCATTCAGGAGCTCTGGCAGGAGCAGGACTTTAATTTACCCAATTACAGCGAGGACAGGCACAAAAACCTTCCTTTTATTCAGGTTTCAAACCCTCTTCTCCCATTTCATCCCCGTGGCAGCACAACTGGAGAGGTTTAGTGATGCTTTTGGAGCGTGGTGGTGATTCCACAGCTTTTTTGGGAAAATTGAGGAACAGATCGTGGCTGTTCTGTAAAGCTGGGCCCAGGGAACAGCCCGAGGAGCCACCTGAACACAGGTTCTAAATGTTAATTTCAATGAGTAATGCTGAAAGATTAAGCTTGAAATGGTATTTTTAAATTTTAGGATATCTCAAAGACTGTAAAACTCTCGAAAAGGAAATTTGTTAAAATTGAAAAGCCCCCTGTATGCCAAAAATTACTGCAGGAAGGAAAGAAGTACAGATTGATCTGTGAGCCAGAAGCTGAAATCACTCCTGTGGTGAGTCCTTTACACAACCCTCACTTCCTGCACTGCAGCTTCCCTGCAAATAGGGCACAAAAAAAGAACCATTTGCCTCTTGGAGCCCTGAAATTCTGGGATGAAATCCCCATGCTAAAGTCAACAGCAAAACTCTGGGGAAATTGGAGTTTGGTTTGGATCTCTCCCAACAGCCAATTGCCTCCTCTTTTGTTTATTTTAGGGAAATATTTAGGTTTATTTTAGGTAAATATTTCCTTTTATTCTATATTTCTGTCGGATAGGAGATTGAATTTGTTGATGGGTCAGTCTTGAAACTGAAGAGTTACTTTGAGGTGTATTTGGAGAAGCCTGATGACTTCACCTTGTCCCTGGTGGAGCAGGACTCGGAGGAGACCGTCTGGAAAGCCAAACTCCGAGAGAGTGAGTCCTTGGGAATGAGGGAATGGCCTGGGATTGACCTTAAATCCCATCCAGGGACACCTCCCACTGTCCCAGGCTGCTCCTTGGGCTTTTCCAGGGATCCAGGGGCAGCCACAGCAAATCTGGGAATTCCATCCCAGCCCCTCCCCACCCTCCCAGGCAGGAATTCCTTCCCGATGTCCCATCCATCCCTGCCCTCTGGCAGTGGGAATCCATTCCCTGTGTGCTGTCCCTCCGTCCCTTGTCAATTGTGTCTCTCCATCTTTCCTGCAGCTCCTTCAGGCACTGGAATGCCCCACTGAGGTCACCCCAAAGCTTCTCCAGGCTGAGCAATCCCAATTTTCCAGCCTTCCCTCCCAGCCAGAGCTGCTCCATCCCTCTGACCATGGAATGGTTTCATTTGGAACCATTCAGTTCCAGCCCTCCTGCATGTTATTCCATGTTATAATATATTATTCCACAGATTCTCCACAGAGTTGTGTAATTACAATATTAAATTGCTTTATTGTTGCATTGTAACTCGCAGTCTCTCTTGCCTGTTTGGGCCTGCTGCAGCACGTTGAATAAAAGGGGGGGGAAAAAAAAAAATCTCATTCTGTCAAACCTGAGGGGCTGGAATCCACCCAAGAGCTTTGCTTTGTGCCTGGGAATTCTTGGAGCTGGGGCCCAGCACTGGGAATCGCTGTGACATTTTCCTCCCGTGCCCTTTCCCAGGGGATTGGATCCATTGTGAGCAGAACAAGAACGAGCAGAGGAGGAGCAAGGCCAGTGAGTGACCCTGCAGATCCCTTGGGATGGAGCCCCTGTTCCCTGTGCCCCTCTCAGGCTCTGGGGACACGAGTGACAGCACCTCTGATCCCTTGCCAGGTGTGAAAAAGAGGAAGCCAGCCCTCGACATCCTGGAGGAGGAGGAGCTCCACAGCAAGAAACAAAAAACTGGCAGCACTGCAGGTGGGACCTGGCTGCGAGAGAACCTGGTTGGGGCCGGTTTTGTGTCCTGTGATTGGAACTGAGTCACTTTATCCAAGATTTTTTTTTCCCTGTGGAATGGTCCAGGCTTGGGGAAGAGCAGCTGGAAAGGTGGGAAGAGGAGCTGGGGGTGCTGGTTGGCAATCCTGGACATGAGCCAGGGGTGGCCAAGGAGGTGCCAGCAGTGACTGTCCCCTGTGCTGGCACTGCTGCCCTGGGGCGGCTTTGGGATCCTCACAGGGACAGGAGGGGCTGGAGCGTGACCAGGGAAGGGAATGGGGCTGGGAAAGGGCCTGGAGAATTCCTGAGGGAGATGGGAAAGGGCCTGGAGAATTCCTGAGGGAGCTGGGAAGGGAATGGAGAATTCCTGAGGGAGATGGGAAAGGGCCTGGAGAATTCCTGAGGGAAATGGGAAAGGTTTTTGAGAAATCCTGAGGGAGCTGGGAAAGGTTTTTGAGAAATCCTGAGGGAGCTGGGAAAGGGCCTGGAGAATTCCTGAGGGAGATGGGGAAGGTTTTTGAGAAATCCTGAGGGAGCTGGGGAAGGGCCTGGAGAATTCCTGAGGGAGATGGGGAAGGTTTTTGAGAAATCCTGAGGGAGCTGGGGAAGGGGCTGGAAAATTCCTGAGGGAGCTGGGGAAGGGTTTGGAGAATTCCTGAGGGAGATGGGGAAGGGCCTGGAGAATTCCTGAGGGAGATGGGGAAGGGCCTGGAGAATTCCTGAGGGAAATGGGAAAGGGATGGAGAATTCCTGAGGGAGATGGGAAAGGGATGGAGAATTCCTGAGGGAGATGGGGAAGGGTTGGAGAATTCCTGAGGGAGATGGGAAGGAGCTGGATAATTTCTGAGGGAAATGGGGAAGGGTTTGGAGAATTCCTGAGGAGCTGGGAAGGGGCTCAGCCTGGAGAAAAGGGAATCGGGGGAAATTCTGGCTCTGCACAACTCCCTGACAGGAGGAGCCAGCCGGAGGGATTTGGGATTATCCCAGGGAACAGGAACAGGAGGAGAAGGAACAACCTCAAGCTGTGCCGGGGGAGGCTCAGGGTGGATTTTTGGGGAAAATCCAATGTTTTTCAGACGGAATGGGAGCCAAATGTTTAACAGACCAACAGCTGCTGGTGATCGCCAAGCTCTTGGACCGGCGCTGGAGGGAAATGGCCATCGAGTGTCTCCAGATGGAGATGAAGGACATCGAGGACATCAGGGCCATGGAGGACGAGGTGAACATGCAGAAATTCCAGGTGCTGAGGAAGTGGAGAGACAAGGAGCAGGGCAATGGAACAGCAGAGGCTCTGCAGAGGAGCCTGGGGGAAAAAGCCACCTACGAGATCCTGCAGGCACTGCAAGGTATCAGCTCCTGGTGCTGCTGAATCCAGCCCTGGTTCAGCTGGATTTTGGGAATTCCATCAGGGAATTCACCAAATCTCCCAGTGCATGGTTTAATTTTGACCTCCATAATATCTCCCTTCAGTCACTTGCAGCAGTGATTTTATATTTAGTGGTGTTTTTATCCTTCCCTTCAGGGGACTGATACAAAATGATAAAAAATCTTTTTTTGCCCTGAGTGTGGAGAGCACTCCCAGCATGACCTGGGTGTCCAAACCGGGATTTCCTGGAGCTGTTTGGGTCTTTATTTCAGGAATAATGGTTAATTAATGGTTAATTAACACCTTCCCTGATGGTGGTTCCATCCCATGTGGGGATGGATTTCCCAAGGGATTTCCCCCTCCTTTCTGTGGAGTTGTTATGTTCAGTTCACCTTCTGCAAATCCAAATTATTCAAGGAGCTGGGAATTATCCCTGAAAGGGTTGGAATTAAATGACCTTTAAGGCCTTTCCAACCCAAACCATTCCATAATTTTATGAACTCAGCCAGCCAAGGGGAATTATCCTCAAAAATTAAATGGATTTTTTTTTTTTTTTTTTCAACAGCAAAACTTTTGTTCTTTCTAAATTCCTTAATTTAGGACAAAAGGGGAGGTTTAGATTGGATATTGGGAAAATTCCTTCATGGCCTGGCACAGTCAGGACCCTGCAGGGATTTCTCAGATGTGTGGGGACATGGGGCAGGGGTGGCCTTGGAAATGCTGGGGAATGCTTGGACTGGAAGATCTTTTCCAATCAAATTCCATGATTAATTCTCCCTGGAAACAACTTGGCTGGAAAAAGTGGGGAGCTCTCCCTCACAGCATTGTGCTGCCTGGGGTAGGGGGGGAGTTTAATATACTAATTTTTCACCTTAAATATTTTCAAATTCAAATTCTCTCCGTTTGAGTCTTGCAGGAATTTCCAGAGATCCCATAATCCAGGTGTGTTTTTTCCCTTTCCCTCAGGTTTCTCAGCTCAGAGCTGAACCAGCTGGAAGGAGGAAGAGGAGGAGGAGGAGGAAGAGGAGGTGGGAGCTTCCCAACCCAACCATTCTGCTCCCCTGGGATGGTGCTGGGATCCAGGAATGCTCATGGAATGGGATTTTGTGTGCATAGAAGCCACTTCCAAGACTTTCAGGAAAGGTGGATCCCAGAATTCACCCCCAGGGAAAGCCACAGACACTGGAAGAAACCATTTGATCTTTTTCATCAAAAAGAAAAAGATTTTTATTTCCATCAGGGAAAAAAAAAAACAGGGTGAAGAATTCCCCTGGAAACTTTCATCCCTTTCCAAAAAAAAAAAAAAAAATCCCCAAAAAAACACTGAACTGCCAGAATCGTGAGGTACATTGGATTTCTCATGGATCAGGGAGGAATAATCCTAAATTTGTACCAAATCCCTTTGCATAATCACTGTATATATGGAATTATTGTATAGATCCTCTACATCCAGTCCTTGTTAAGCTATGGCTCTGCCTCCTGAAATTCCCAAAGATGGGAACACCACTATGAACTCAGAATTTCCCCGTGGAATTTCTTCCCCCCTCTTTTCTGTATAGTTTGTCACCATTTTTTACGTTGTATAATTCTCTTTTTTTTTTTTTTTTTTAATTTTTTTTTACTTGTTTTATTCAAACTTGAATAGAATTTAGGTGCTTAAAATATGAGGAGCTGATATCCCTGTGCTGCAGGATTGGGAAAAAAAAAAAAAAAATTGGGAAAGAGGAGTGACCAGATCCAGGATTGTCTTGTTTTTAAGGCTGTGGGATATTGGGATCATTTTCCTCTGTGTGTGTGTTTGGGAAGGGAAAAGAGACTTTTGAAAAATAAGGATTAAACAGGAAAAATTTCCATTATTTCCACCTGAATGTTGATTTTTGGTTTTAGTTGGGTGTTGATTTCCTGGGAAGAGGAGGAGGAGGATGGAAATTGTTCCTCAGCGTTCTGGAAAAGCATCCAAGGTTTTTTTTTGGGATGGAAATCCCAAAATATCCCATCCCATTCCAACCCCTGCCAGGGCCAGGGCCACCTGCCCTATCCCAGGTTTTTCCAAGAAGAAAATTTGAATTTTAAACCACACCAATTACAGGGAATTCCATTACCAATTCCTGTACCAGCAATATCCAAATTATTTCAAAGGATTCATGTTGGACAAAAAAAAACTACGGTGATTTTGGAGAAACATTGATTTTATTAAGCAATAAATAAAATAAATAGGGAATATTTAATAAATAATAAATCGTGGACTAGAGTGGAATATCATCATAAATAAATCAAGGAATATGATAAATTAATCAAGGAGTAGAATGGAATCTCATAAATCAAGGAATATCATCATAAATAAATCAGGAACTACAATCATAAATGAAAGAATATCATCATAAATCATGAAATAGAATGGAATCTCAAATCAAGGAATATAATAAATAAATCAGGGAATAGAGTGGAATATCATTATAAATTAAAGAATATAATAATAAATAAATAAGGGAATATAATCATAAATAAATCAAGGAATATCATCATAAATAAATCAGGGAATAGAATGGAATCTCAATCAAGGAATATCAAATAAATCAGGGAATAGAATGGAATCTCAAATCAAGGAATATCATCATCAATCAGGGAATAGAGTGGAATATCATCCTAAATCAATTGTGGAATGGAATGGAATAGAATGGAATATCATCCTAAATAAATCAGGGAATAGAATGGAATACCATCCTAAATAAATCATGGAATGGAATATCATCCTAAATCAATTGTGGAATAGAATATCATCCTAAATAAATCATGGAATGGAATGGAATATCATCCTAAATCAATCAGGGAATAGAATGGAATATCATCCTAAATCAATCAGGGAATGGAATACCATCCAATCCTAAATCAGTTGTGGAACAGAATATCCTGAGTTGGAAGGGCTCCCCAAGAAAAGGGATTATCATGGATAGCTCTCAGTTCCTGAGAAATCAGAGTAAATCGGGATAAATACGAGTTGGGGACATTTCAGTTTCCCAAAAGCCGGGAATTTAACGGGGTCTGCTCCCAG